AGCTTCTTGTTACTACTAGTAATGCCCTTGTTACTAGTAGTAATGCCAGGAGCTACTAGTAGCTTCTTGTTACTAGTGGCGATGGCCTTCAACCTAATAGCGATGGCCTCCACCGAGCATAGCGTCCTTGCTACTAGTAGGATTTGCTTGGGAATCACGGGGTAAAGGCAAGAAGCTACTAGGAGCAAAGGGCATCGCTTCTAGGAGCAAGGGCCTTACTACTAGGAACAAGAAGCTAGTAGAAACATGTAGAAACAATAAATAGAATTTGCTTCAAATAGAATGGCTTCTTGTTACTAGTAGCTACTTGCTCCTAGTAGTACGGCCAGGAGCCCCTAGTAGCATCCTTGCTCCTAGTAGCGATGCCAGGAGCCCCTAGTAGCGTCCTTGTAAAGGCAAGAAGCGTTCTTAGCTTCGGCCGGGCTGGCAGGCCCTACGTGGCTTCGACGCTCCCTTGGTTTTTCACCATGGCCATGCGGCCTCGCTGCCGGACGTGGCTGATCGGGAAGTCCCAGGTGAGACGGAGAGCGGTTTCACTAGGAGCAAAGAAGCTGCTAGGGGCTCCTGGCCGTACTACTAAGAGCAAGGACGCAAAAGGAAAAAAAGAAAACACTAGACTTTACTCCAACCTAATAGCGGCCTTCAACCTAATAGGGATGGCCTCCGAGTCCACGTCTCACCGTTCAGGTGGACTAGCGCAAGCTTTGGCGCGGGCAAAGGCGGTCGCCACGAACGCCTTGGCATCTCCGTACAGATCTCGAAGACATATCGCCGCCATTGGAGCTTTGGGTGAAAGTCCACCCACCCACTTGCTCCTTGGAGAAGAATCGGTCGAGAAGTATGAAGCCATACGCTTTTGGACGTCGAGTCGAGTTGTGAGGCTTTTTGGAATGTCTTGGGGTTGAACAAGAACTCATTCTTTTGTAAGAGCCCGACTACATACAGCCTTTGAGCTTTGGCCTTGACCCCCGACACCATAAATAAGGGGAACGGAATAAATGACCAAAGAACGAAAGGAAGGAAAAAAGACAGGACAGGTCCAAAGATCTAAATGTGTAACGGAAGGACATGAAACCAATCATAACACATATAAGCTAGTAGAAACAAGTGCATCGCTTCTAGTAACAAGTGCCTTACTAGTAGTAACAAGAAGCTATTAGGCCGTACAAATGGATCGAACGCATATCCTTCACCTAGGCAAGCTGGAGAAGCTTCCGAACCAAGGCCGCTGCAGGAGCGCCTCCCTCCAGCCTTCGGAAGTTTCTTTCCTTTTCCTTTTTAAAAGGTTGCCGGTTCATCCGGCTTAAGACGTGCAAAATCGAAGGAGCTGGTCCTTTCCTTTCTTCCTAGTAGCTAGAAGCTACAAGGTTGGAGGCCATCGCTAGTAGGAAGCTACTAGGGGCTCCTGGCCTTACTAGGAGCAAAGGGCATCGCTACTAGGAGCAAGGATGCTACTAATAGCTTCTGGCCTTACTAGCTAACCTGCTTTCGCCATATTTGGTTGTCAGGCAGTGGCAAGCTCTGAGCGTCGGCCTCGGAGCCGAAGGGGCACCGAAAACATGTCCTGATCCAATGGAGCTGCGCTGGCAGCTTTTTGGGCTTCTTGTTACTAGTAGCTACTTGGGCTTTTTGTTCCTAGTAGCTTCTTGTTACTACTAGTAAGGCACTTGTTACTAGTAGCGATGCACTTGTTACTACTAGCTTCTTGTTACTTGCAGCTACTTGCTCCTAGTAGTACGGCCAGGAGCCCCGTTCGTAGCGTCCTTGCTCCTAGTAGCGATGCCAGGAGCCCCGTTCGTAGCTTCTTTTTGGACAACAAGTAGAGGAGCATCAGTTTTCTTCAAAAAGGATTGCAAGATGGCCTTCCAGGACGAGGTTGACAGACATATATAGACATAGTTGCCTAGGTTGGAGGCCATCGCTCTTAGGTTGGAGGCCATCACTAGTAGGTTGGAGGCCATGCTCTTGTGAAGAGAATGAAGACTTGTTCAATGAGCCAGCCAGGCTCAGCACCCAGGTCTGACCGCCGAGGCAGACTCAACTGTACCCCAAAGATGCGTAAATCTTTAGAGCCGTCAGGCAAGAGTCGTTAGGTATTAAATCTCCAGAGGTCCAACTCGATGGCCAACCTAATAGCAATGGCCTCCAACCTAGAAGCGATGGCCTCCAACCTAAGCCATGAGAATATTCAAGACTATTCAAGTTTCTAGCCTGAGATGTAGCCTCCAAAGATGTAGGCGCCACGCCGCCATGCACCGTTTTGCACGAAGTCGAAGCGAGCTGATCTGTCTGACAGACTTTCATCAAGTTGTACTTGACATCATATTGTGCTTTGGCCTCAGTTTCGCAAGCTTTTTGAGGCCTGGCAAACGAGAAAATGTACGAGACCAACAACAGCCGATGCCCAAAGTTCGGGTGCTCCGGCGCTTTTGGAACACAAGGATGCTTCTAGATTGGAGGCCTTCTTGTTACTACTAGCGTGGCACCTGTTACTACTAGCGTGGCACCTGTTACTACTAGCTTCTTGTTACTACTAGTAAGGCACCTGTTACTACTAGGTTCAAAACCATTCCCATTATATAGATTCCTTTTGCCATTACGGACGAATGCTTCATGCTGTTTTATTTCTTTTCCGTGGCGTCATGAGCACCACCCATAAAGTTCAGTGTCATGGCCGTCATGGGTCATTTAAAGGTCATTGTCATTTTGATTTTTGTTGTTCCAAGTTCATTTCGACGCTGGAACTGAATAAAGACCTCGTTGAGCTCGAAGCTGCTTCGTTCCGGCTTTCTGCCAGATACAGATCCCACCTCAACCGGGCGCCGCAGTTCCTTGTCGTTTGGAGTTCGATTTCTTGATGTTCGTTTTCCGAAGCTGTTCGCAAACGGATTGGACTTGGGACTAAGGCAGTTACAAAGATGCTTTTTGACTTGTGACTTCGGGGTTGAAGGACTCAGTGGCGTGGAGTGCCAAGAGGGTGCTTGGAAGATGCGTTCGCGTTCCCAAGCTTTTGTTCTTCAGCCATCACCAAGTGTCTCAAGTGCTGACACGTGATGTGTATGGATGGACCGCCGATATTTGTGTGTTGCAGCCATTGCTAGTAGGTTGGAGGCCATCGCTACTAATTACGTTGGAAAGTGGTAGTTTGTGAAGAGAAAGGAACGGTCCAGTTCGTACATGCTGAGCGTCCATTTTCAAACGTGTCCATTTTTGTAGGGGGTTTGGCGAGGTTGGGTGATGTATTCTTTGAGAAGTATGTATTGCCACTGTGCCGAAGGTTGTCCTGTGAATTCTAAATGTACCAACCACCACCCGACAGCTTGTCTGCAAAGGGCAGGCCATTATCCGGTGTCCTTGCGTGTGCAGATACAATGTGTATTCAGTCATTTTTGTGTTGTGGGAACCCATTGGAATGGCATCGTATGTGTGTGGAATACACCTCCTTGAAATCTGCCTAGCTGTGGTATTTGCACTGGAATGCGATCAACGGTCGGCAATGCAAGCCTTTGCAACCAATCCGTCTGACCAGAAAGTCCTGCAGACTTTCAGAAAACACACCTTTTACGCACTGACCCGATTTACACGTTCTATATATTGTTACTACTAGCGTGGCACTTGTTACTACTAGCGTGGCACTTGTTACTACTAGCGTGGCACTTGTTACTACTAGCGTGGCACTTGTTACTACTAGCGTGGCACTTGTTACTACTAGCGTGGCACCTGTTACTACTAGCGTGGCACTTGTTACTACTAGCGTGGCACTTGTTACACGTTCTACATATTGGTATGTAATATAATGTAACGTATGTGTATGGATGGATGCACGGATCTTTTTCCGGAGTTTCTTTCTTGACTGCTTACTCGAGGGGGGGGCTTTGCCCTGGTCTCTAATAATTGAATGGATAGTGATAGATCTGGATAGAAGTGCTCTTAAGTTGTTTTTATTTGAACCTGTTCTGCAGGACTTTGGTCAGACACAAGGAACCCCTGGCTTTCAGAAAGGCATAGGGGATTGAATTCGTGTTTTGCACACACGTGTCGTAGAAGGTGACCGGCAAATTCGTTGCGAAGATTTGCGTAGGACTCCCTGCAGGGCTCGAGACACCTTTCTGCGACAGACGATTTGTTAGAGTTCACTGTGTGTTCATCAATCTGCAGGAGACTCAAGTGATATGCACTACCTCACCCCCGTAAACAAGAAGGGCTAGGGAAAATGACCACTGGTCGGTGAGAAAGTCGCAGTTGTTGTGCAACATCACGTTGTTGTGCAGTGAAGGGGACAAGGGCCCCAAGATTGCAATGAGTCTCCTCCAGCTTGATGATGGGGCAGAAAAACAGGCCTCAATTTGTTTGTAAAACTTCGGGCAGTATCTCGCGCACGTACCACCGCAAGATGTGCCAGCAAGCTTTGCAGCCTGCTTGTACACCGTTGTTCAGAAAATATCTTTGGTAGTCAAGCAGCATCACAGTGTTGGTGTGCTGGCCTCAAGAGTGAGGGTGATGACAGCAAGCTGCAACTCAGCTATTCTGACATCTACCGACATCCAAACTCCAGCTTGTTTGTGAGTTGGACAAAATGATGGCGTCCTAGTGCTGGGGATGAGTAGCGCCAAAACTGTGATTTACCTTTTTATGAGCAGAGGAAAAAAGAAGGTATGGCTGGTTAACCCCCCTATAAAGGAGCAGTTGTTTAAGGACCCCTGACTGCCCATTACCTTCTTTTCTTTTTGTTCCCAGTCAGTCTATTCTTTTTTGAACACCTTGTGCTGTGTCGAAACTTTGGCTGACCAGCCGAAACTAGAATAAAGATGCCAAATGACTGCAAGTGCTGCACGGGAATATTCTTTTGCCAGAGGAACACTGTGTTTGAACACTACCCACCCACCGACAAACAGAGCCCCTTCCGTTGTGAGCACACCAGTGTTCGCGTGGTCAGATGAGAGACTTCAGTCTTGCACACTCCAGATGAGAGAGCGAGAACGTGGTACGCTTGAGAATGGATGGAACAGGCAGGGAGTATACTAGCGATGGCCTTCAACCTAGCGATGGCTTCCAACCTGAGAGCGATGGCCTCCTGAGAGCGATGGCAAGTTTGTGGTATTTTCCTGTGTATCAAACGAGCTACTAGGAACAAGTGCCACGCTAGTAGTAACAAGTGCCACGCTAGTAGTAACAAGAAGCTAGTAGTAACAGGTGCCTTACTAGTAGTAACAAGAAGCTATTAGTTAATCTTGCGATAGGCACTGCTCCAGGGGACTGCGGCGGTTGCAGAGGCAGCGAAGCAAGGCAGACTCGAAGAGGCGCTGATCACCAAACACGCGTAGGTGAACTGAATAGGAACCGAATAGGTTTGATTACTTTCAGTTCTCAACTTGTTCCTTTTCCACATGGAGCATGCCCATCATGCAGGTTGTCCACAGAAGTGGAACATTCATCATTCAACTTATTGCAGATTGCATCCTGTGGTTCTCTAGATTTCTCTGGAGAAGTTGGGTCTTAGTGCCAACTCTTGAGGTGGGTTGTCTTGCTACTCAGAACTAGTGCAGAAAGGAGGAAAGCTGAAAAGGAAGGGTATGAATCGAGCTGACCGACCCAATAGCAAACCATCACCCAAAAGGTAATGTATTTACCTGCACGATCTTCCACTAACAAGCTGATTTGAAGACAGAAAGACAGAGACACCACAAAGCAAGACAGGGACACAACAATGACACGACCGACCAACAGTCCATTTCCATTTTGGATGCGAGCATTGCGTAGCCAGTATTGCGTAGCCACACGTATGCGTCTGTGACAGACTCTTAGAAGGACGGAAGGTCTCTTCCTCTCATGGAGGACATCGCTATTAGGTTGGAGGCCATTGCTATTGCTACTAGTAGCGTGGCACTTGTTTCTAATAGCAAACATTGTTACTACTAGCGTGGCACCTGTTACTACTAGCGTGGCACCTGTCTTATTTTTCTTGTTCCTTCCACGGGGCCACTCACTCTAGGCGCTGCGGCGCTTGGCTTTGTTACGGGACCGCGGTCTGCGGCTGGATGCAGCAGTGCACCATGCAGCTCTGGGTGGAGCCAAACGTCGATGGCGAGAGGCATTGCAGATGGCCATCCAGATGCAGCAGGAGATTGATTGAATGTTTTCCGATAGCATTTGTACAGCTTTGGGTCTAGGTCTTGAATGTCAAGGAACTCTTTATTTAACATGCTTGAAATCTTAAGAACACATTCAATCGGCAGTCCAAACATAAGAAAACTACTTAGAATGGGCAGAATGCTTTACTTTGATGTTGAATTTTGAGCAAGCATGCTTTACTTTTGTCCCGTTAGCAAGAAGCGAACGTATGGTTTCGCAGGAGATTTTGCTGTAGCTGGCTATGGTTTGTTGGCTATTGCTTGTAGTACCCCTGGTGAAGAAGTAGGAGAACACAAGATGAGTCGAGAAGAAATAGACTGAATTGTGAAAGGTGAGCAAGTGGAACCGTGAGCGTACGTTAATTAACAGTCAAGAAAACAGTCCTTTGGATCGATGTCGTGACCAGAGGGCAGACATGCTGTGACATTGCCACTGCATTTCTTTTTTTTCCCTTGTTCTTCCTGCGTCATTTCTTCCAGGATGGCATTTCCTTCACTTCGGTGACTTTCACGTGCGCACAAATTGCCGGCACAAGAAGAACCAAGTATGTGAAATTCAACATATCGTTGCAAAGAATTGTGTTGTGCATTTGTCTTACATCTTTCATCATCTTTCCAAAGTGCCACACCAGGGACACGGGACTTGCTTGATTCTGCAGAAGGAAGATGTAGGCTTACAGCCATAGGAGTCGCAGACACTTTCTCTGAGCTATTCTGAAGCTTGTTCCCTTGAAAAGGGATGTTTGATGGTTTTCGTAGCAAGGAATTGTTGATGCGTCGCGTAGCAACACGGACACATGGACTGGATACGTTTCCTAATAGCGATGGCCATGCGATGGTCTCCAACCTACTAGCGATGGCCTCCACCCTAGTAGTGCCCTTGCTACTAGTAGCGATGCCCTTTGTTACTAGTAGCGATATCCATCCTGGCGTTTTTCTCTGTGAGTCGTTTGGTCGTTCGGTCAGTTTGCTGCTCACCGCGTGCCGCCCTCATCGCTGGCGCCGTGCTGCGCTGCTGCTGGCCGCAGCGGGTGGACGGGCCTCACGAGCCACCTGGAACGTGGCTTTAGGCCAGGTCCAAACGGTCGACCAGACATGGCCTCACTCACGGCTGGGTTTCGTAAACAAGTGGTGGGACGCACTGTTCAGCTCATATTGGCATCAAAGAAATGGTCTACTGAGTAGACAGAACTTATATCGGCATAAATACGGATAATAGTTTAAAATAAATTCAAGACCTTGAAGGCTCTGGCACGGGGAGTTTCGCTGCAGTGTGCAAAACTCCCTGGTCGTCTGGGTAGTCCGTTCAGCTTTGAGGCCTTTCAGCATCGCCCGATGGTGCTCTCGAACTCTTGCATCAGATGCGAGGGGCATTGCTCAGGCTTTTGCGGCAGAAAGGGAGAGCAAGTTGCACAGCGCCAGCTGCCCTGAAGTGGCTTTACTGTGCTCTAGAACTGCAACACGCACACACATCCAGCTTCTGCTCCATCTTCTTCCCTTCAAGATGAACAAAGAAAGGTAAGGGTCCTTCAAAGCGGGATTCTAAACCCTTATATTCGGTTTTTTGAACTATTTTGCAATCATTTATATTCAACAGCGAGCCCAAAAGAGCGTTTCAACATGTTTAAACAGATGACCTACTAGGCGACCCCATCAATTGACGTAATGACTCTTGCTAGTCTCTTCCTAGGCCGGAAGGACAAGCGCGCGTTGGGGTAGGAAGGGGAGGAGAGGTAAGCCCTTTTTTGGTTTGGCAATCTTCACACAGAAGTTGAAACGCGGGAGGCCAGACGATGTAAGCTATGGGGCGATGGTGAGCAGCTGCAGTGCTTTGGATTGCCGGTTTGGATCAGAGGGATTAGACGTGGAAAAGACTTATAATTAGACGTGAACTGGGATTTTCAGTCATATATATATATATAGATGTTCTTTAGAATTTGTGTTGGAGTGCAAAGTGCCTTGGCAAGCCGCTGGTGAAGTGACGTGTTTTTGCCACACCATCTACTCTACATTGCATTCTCACAGCCGACTTGATTTTTTTGAAACCCGTGGATGTCAGATGGCTTTTGGAACATGCGCACCGCACAGCAACATGTCTTGTGTGGTCGCATTTCTCACGATCCCTGTGTTCCCACCGGGTCATCCCATCGAAATTCGCGAACCCCTGAACATCACATGTTTCAGCAGTCCAGGTGCACATGGTGCGTTGGTAAGCAATCCATTTGCACGTTGTTCTCGACTGGAGCGGAACTCGAGGTCAGAGTTTTCATTGGATGGAAGCTTTCCAGATGCTTGTGATGGCTCAGACCAATGGCTGCAGGCTGCACCGCCACACGGAACAAGTGATCATTGAGTTCGTTTCGGTGAAAAGGTTGCAAACATGTTTTGTATTTGTGTTCCCGCCCAAGCTCTGTTTCATTCCCCGCATGTCGCTGCCTGGTTCGAGGCTCTCAGAGAGCGCTTTTTGCGCAGCGCTTGCTTGTTGCAGCCGCAGCAATCGCTGGGTTGAGGCCGAGTCCTTCAATGTTGTGATCTTGCCTCTAGGGAATGGACTTGAAAAAAGAAAAATGTCAATGAGTCTTATGAGTCTCATGGGTCCTCAGAAAGGTCTGAAAGTGGTGTTCGAGTCAAGTCGCGAAGAGAAACCTTGAGCGAATGGCTGGCAGGCGGTTTTTGATTCAAAATGGTTTTTGATTCAGCTCTAGCGAGGTGTCTGATTCATGTGAGGCCTTGGAGACCTTGGGGAAATCAACGTCTGAAGCAGGGCTTCTTGGCGTCGCTTTTCCAGACCTGAAGGCACCTGTTACTAGTAAGGCACCTGTTACTACTAGCGTGGCACTTGTTTCTACTAGCTTTTTGTTACTACTAGTAAGGCACCTGTTACTACTAGCGTGGC